CATAATTACCAGTAACTAAAGATGTCGCATAACATTTAGCAAAAACAGTTGTTGACGTTAACAGTAAATGATTGATTAATTAATTTGTTTTTACGACATATGCGGAGGTTTTAAATCAGAAAATGAAACCATCTGCGCATCGAATTACACCAAGTGCACATCTAATTACACTACAGCCATATTCAATTACATTACCTGCACATACAATGACATAAAATACGCAATAAATGACCCCACCCACACATCCAATGAATCCACCTTACAGATCCAATGAAACCACTACATGTCCATTGACACCACCTACGCATAATTGCACCACCTGCATATCTAATTACACCTACTGCACATTCAATTACACCATCTTATTGAACTATCTACACATCCATTTACACCAACGGCACATTCAGTGACACCACCGGCACATCCAATGACATCACCTACACGTCCATTTATATCACCTACATATCCAATGACACTACAGGAACATTCAATTTTACTACGTACACATTCAATTGCACCAACTGCACACCTAATGACAGTACTTAGACATCCAGTGAAACCGCTTGCTCATTCAGTGACACTACCTGCACGTCCACTGACATCACCTGCACGTTTAATTACACCGCATGCACATTCACTTATACTACCTGCACATTCAGTGACATCAACTTGACATCAAATTACGCTACGTACACATCCAATTGCACCAACTGCTCGTCGAATGACACCACCTATGCATCCATTTACACCAGCTGCAAATAAAATTACACCACCGACACATCCAATGACACCACCTATTTTTTTAAATAAGGCTTGTGAACGATTTAATATACCTCACAGTCAATGAAATCCTGAGAAAATAACGATGTTACATTTAAAATTACCGTAATACCGTTTAAAATATTACGCCGTCAACATTTGAAGTAAAAATTGTTTTAATATTTCAGATCTAGAAGTATGTCTTTTAACTGGATTCGAACCATGAGAACTAACATCTGTAACCAAGTAAGAGCCAACGTATTTATCAGGCTCATCGTATAAAAGGAGATCTAATGCTCCATTTAGTCTCTGAATTGCCAAAGTCTTCTATTGATCTTATGTCCACCTATCCAAAAGACTATTTGTCCCGAACGTTTAAGAGATTTTTATTCTTAGCAAGAAGAAAAAACGTATCTGCTGTGTCAATAAAGCGATGTTAAACACCTAACTCATGGTCTGTTGGAAAACAAAGCTCTCCCAATGATTCAATCTACAAGTGTCACTCTCATTGAAACTTAACTGCCTTTTCGTCGACTGTACTCAGGATGTTTTCTTATCTATGGCCAATGTCCTGTGAAAAGCAATTTCGTTGGCTTTTTATAAAAGTCGCCCACAACAGCCCGCCTTGATAGTAGCCGATAACCGAGCCCAAAGGTTTTCTGTAAAAGCTATTTGCGTATCTATATCGGATATTGTGCATCGTTTCTTTGCGTGGCCGGAACCTTGTTTTTAATCGTAAGGTGATTCGCATTTTGCGTTCGACTATTTTCAGAATTTCATCCGGAGTATAGTGTCATGGGATTTAGGGGTTGGCTTTTTGGTGAAAAAGAAAAGGTGTGTTGATGTTGTTTGCATATAAGCAATAACTAACGCGTGGAAAAATCTTAAAGATTGACTTTAAGATCCGAAAGAATGACAAGAAGAAAAACAAAAACGGTTCCAGGAAGACATTACTTTTGTAGATTTCTCTCTGTGACATTTTCTTTTTCTTGCCCTTCTGGTTTTCGTTTGTATTTGTTTATAGTTAAACCGATGTATTTTATTTCTTCATCTTTTTTTTTCTTTCGATCTTTTTCCTTTCGCTTTTATTTCTTCATTCTTCATTGTCACATTTCCTGTTTCTTTTTTCTTTCCGTTATTTTTCATCTGTTCAAATCTCTTCTTTTAATATTTTTTTTTTCAGAGATTTAATCTTCGATATAATTTATTCATCATCACTTTAACCTTTTGTTGTTATGTCCTTTCTTTCGATCCCTTTTTTCTCACTGACTTAATCATTCACCTTACTTTCTTTCTTTCTTGGTCTCTATTTCATACTGGCTTCTTTCTTTCTTCTTTCTTTTTTCTTTCTTTCCTTTTATCTCACTCATTTATTCATTCAGATTTCTTTCTTTCGTTGTCACTTATTCGTTTAGATTTCATTTTCACTAATTCACAGACTTTTTTCTGTCTCGGTAATAAATTCAGTCAGATTTCTTTCTTTTTTTCACGAATTCAAATTGTCTTCTTTTGTTTTTCTATCTTTCTTGTTCACTATTTCATACTACTTTCTTCCTTTGTTTATTCTTTTTTTCTTTCTTTCGCTTTTACTTCCTTATTTATTCATTCAACTTTCTTTCTTTCTTTCTTTCTTTTCTTTCTTGTTCACTAATTCACACAGCTTTCTTTTTCTTTCTTTTCTTTCTTCTTTTTTCACTCATTTATTAGCTTACGTTCTTTATTTCTCGGACACTTATTCATTCAGATTTCTTTCTTTTTTTCTCACTACTTCACATCGCTTTCTTCCGTTCTTTCTTTTTTATTTTTCTTTCTTGTTCACTATTTCACCCTGCTTTCTTTCTTTCTTCTTTTTATTTTCTTTCCCTTTTCTTCACACATTTATTCATTCATCTTTCTTTCTTTCTTTCTTTTTCGGTCACTTCATATAGACTTCTTTCTTTTTTGCACTTATTCGCACTGCTTTCTCCTGTTCTTTCTGTCTTTCTTTTCCACTATTTCACACGACTTTCTTTCTTTCTTCTTTCTTTTTTTCTTTCTTTCCCTTTTCCTCACTCATTTATTCATTTAGCTTTCTTTCTTTCTAGGTCACTTATTAATTTAAATTTATGTCTTTCCTTCTCATTATTTCACGCTTCTTTCTTTCTTTCTCGGTTACTTATTCATTCAAATTTCTTTCTTTTTTTCCCCCTATTTCACACTGCTGTCTTTCTTTTTCTTGATCACTTATTCAATCAGATTTTTTTTCCTTTGGCATTTGGCTTGTTTCTTTGTTTAATCGCTGTTACTCTTTCTTTCATTTAATCTTTTCATTTTATCTGTTTTCTTTATATTTCTATTTTCCTCGCCTTATTCGTTTGATGAACAGTTAAAACTCCAGTGAACAAACAAATTCTCAAACGATCACGCTTGCCTGAAGTAATTCAAAATGGCTGCCTGTTTGGCTCCTCCGTCGCCTGTTAACCAAGTTATAGTATGACATGACAGGTACAAAGATGGCGGCTCAGTCGGTCGGTTTCGTTAATGGTTGCTACATTGTATTGCAACCCGATGTCCGGCAATTGCCATCGTGAAAACCTTTCAGGCAATGAAATTGGGTGGAACCGGGCAAGAGACGGAAGTTCAAACGTGGAAACATTTGGTGGGGGAAACGGTCATCAAGATGGCCACGAATTACTGCGCACGCAGACCGGAAATTAAGGACATGGGGCGGTTCACACAAAGTCGTTGACTGACGGGCGTAGCTTTTCGAGGCTAACGGAAGTTGTAAAAGAAAGTAAAAGATATGGCCGAACGAATGGCTGGGGAAAGAGGAAACAGAAAAGAAACGTGATGAGGTGAGATGAAGGAAGGGAAGGAGTGTCAATATTAAATGAAAAAGAGGGGAGATAAAGAAGAAAAGGAAAAATTTTATTCAATTTTGTTTCTTTCTTTCTTGTTCATTATTTCACTCTGCTTTCTTTTTTTCTTCTTTCTTTTTTTTATTTCTTCCCTTGTTCCTCGCTCATTTGTTCATTCAACTTTCTTTCTTTCTTTCTTTCTCGGTCACTTAATTCATTTAGATTTCTTTCTTTCTCATCGATTCACACAAATTTCTTTCTTTCTTTCTTCTTTTTTAGGTTACTTATAGAATAGAAATACATAAAGAGGTAGGAAAGCGAGATATCTATATTCGATAAGAAGAAAAAAGTGAACATAGAAAGTAAGATGCGGAAGAGGGAAACAAAAGAAGAAGAAAAAGAAATCGGGGTAGAAAAAAGAAAAGAAGCAATAAAGCAAAAACGTGTATAGAAAGAAAGACTAAAAATTGAGAGAGTAAAACAACAAAAAATTGACAAGAGAATTTGAGTTGAATTTCCCCAATTGTTTAAGAAAAAGAAAAGGAAGGAACAAGACAGGTAAAAGAAATAGAAAATAAGAAGAAAAATTTAATCAAAATAAATGAAATATCAGGTAAAAGATATCAGGTAACCGTTGAAAAAAGATAAGCCGGAAGAAGCAAAGAAAAAAGATACACTCCAAGAGGAATAAATGAAAACACAGAGAAAGGTTAGGAAAAGTTACGAAAGAAAAAAACATTTAATTTATAATTTATGAGAGGAAGGCCCCGAAACGGTGCACATTCTCTCCTGATGACCCCAGTTTAAAATTCGAGAGGAACGCATCAAATTCAGTGAAGTCATATGCCGTAGAGAAGCTCAGTGGAAGTGTCATTGGCATGAGGAGCATTACACATTCAGCTCGCTTCAGGTGAGTTTCAATTACTTTCCAGTAATTTCCTTCTTAGAGAAGAAAATAAAAAGAAAACACGGAAAGAAAAAAACGGTTGAAATGAAGAGTAAAGAAATAAGAAAAGCGTTAGCAAAGAAATTGACATGAGGTGGGGGGGAAGAAGAAAGGAAAAAAAAAACAAAAAAAGGAAAATGAAGAAAAAGATAAAGAGAAATAAAAAGTAGAAAAAATAATAAAATTGATAAAGATGCCGACAGAAATTGGGAACATATTAAAAATATTTTGTGGTTTACAATCATACATTGATTATTTTGGACCAGTTTACAGCACTTTTTTCTTGTTTTTACATTTCAGCCGATGTATACACTGGCCTCCTTCTGGTATCTGAAGGAGGAAGAAAGAAAAATTCATTTAGTTATTATATAATAGTATCTGACATTTCCAGTGTCTTTCCTATGGAAAACTAAACATTTAATCTGTCTTTATGGACGAGGTATGTATGTATTGTAGGTATGTATATCTATCTATCTATCTATCTATCTATCTATCTATCTATCTATCTATCTCAGTCTGTTCTTATCTATCTATCTATCTATCTATCTATCTATCTATCTCAGTCTGTTCTTATCTATCTATCTATCTATCTATCTCAGTCTGTTCTTATCTATCTATCTATCTATCTATCTAGTCTGTTCTTAGTCATCTATGTATCTATTATCTATCTATCTCTGTTCTTATCTATCTATCTATCTATCTATCTGTCTATCTCAATTTGTTCGAATCTGTCTGTCTATTATTTTAATAATAATATGGTGTTGCCACGAAGTTGTTTGCAACTAAAATTTCATATGTTTTAGACGCGTGATCATAGGGCAGCTGTCGATGGCCTGTAGTGTCAGAGGAACACACACGGACCCACACACACACATCTATGGTAACAACTAAAATTAAATGTTTATTACACTGAGTTTCGCAGAAATTGCATCTGCTCGTTAGCGTGCATGATAGTTGGGGCCTCAAAGAAATTATGTAACTTCCGCAAAACTCAGAGTAAGAACTCAGAAGTAAATATTTCATTTGGTTAACATTAATGCTTTATTTCTTGATAATGATCACTTTAATTGCAAAGGTTGCTTACATTAGAAGCACTATCACTCAGAAATGAACTGGTCGAACTTTATTTTTCTTATCGAAACCCAAAATACACACACACACACACACACACACACACACACGTGTGCGCTCTCTCGCACACACAAACACACACAGATATATGAACTGAACTGAACCGAACCGAACCGGCGGCGATTCCGCCTGGTCTAAATATGTTAAAGTCATTTGTCTTTTTTGGCTAACAGCGATTGCATACTTTACTTCTGTAGATGATGGCTAGCCATTCAAAACTAAATCTCCTGCCTTTCCCAATTTGTGGTCAGAACTTTCGTTCTCTTTGGTTAATTTCTGCCCAAAGCTAACCACTCTATCCGGATGTTAAAAATAATCAAAATGCCGTTTCTTGTCAACTGATGAGTTTTTCGGAAAAATAGAATGATAGAATTTTCTTCGAAGAACAAAAATGTGTTTTGAATTTCACAAATTGTCGTGCTGAGGTCAGCATCAAGTTCACAAGAGATATAATGCATATGAAACCGTTATGAACTGTATTGCAACCAAACAATTATATTTTTGGAGGTAAATTGATTTGTAGGGTTAAATTTGGACGGAGTAATAGGTGGGGGTTGTCCTCCAATTTCATCGGATGTTAACTTTAGTCAAATAAATTTTATCCTTCAGAAGAAAGTAAAATAGACAAAAACAAATATAGAAAATGAATCCTTGAAAAATTTTGGTTTGATCATAAAAATTAACTTTTTTCTTTTTTTATATGGAATCAATTACTATACCTTTTCAACTTCAAAATAATAATAATCAACTTCAAAATGGACTTAGTTTCAAGTAAAAAATTAATCAACTCCAAAAGGGATTAATCAACTTCAAAATGGATTAATCAACTTCAAAATGGAACAGTCAACTTCAAAATGGATTAATCAACTTCAAATTGAGAAAATGTCAAGAACCTAAAAACAATCAACTTCAAAATAAGAATAAACAACTTCAAATTGGAATAAACAACTTCAAATTGAGATATTTTTTTTTTGTAAATTGAAAATTATTTTTCAATTAATTTACCCCATGAATAAGGAAATTGACTGTTCGTCTTCATTATATAGATGAAGAAAAAAACAAACTACAAACAACTTAGCGGCCAAGAAAGCATTGGGTGAGCCTACAGTAAAAGTAGGAGGAGAAAGTCCCGTATGGGCAAAAATGATGATTGATGATGATGATGCTGGAGAAACCTCTACAAAAGAAGCTGAAAAGGAATTAGCAACAGCTCCAAAGAGGACTTACCTCAAGAAAACTGTGGCTGGCGAAAAAAAGGCCCAGATTTTAGCTGCACATACCGCAGCAGGAAATTGGAAAGACCTGGCAAGAACAATTGGTGTGCCTCTGCCAACAGCGTACCTTTGGTTCGACCAGGGTGCTGATAAGAGTGACTCTAGGGGAGGAGCAAGAAAATATAAAATTACGCAAACAAGAGCATAAGAATTTTATGGCTGAATTAATTGAAAACTCTCCTAGGGTCACTCTTCAAGACATTGTAAATAAGTTGGTTGAAAAGTATGAGGTTCGTGTGACGAAAGAATGCATAAGAAAGCACTTGGACTCCATGACCTTTACTTTAAAAGCGGTTCATTATGAACCAGAAGCTACCAATAATAATGGCAATAAGGCGAAACGTAAGAATTACGCAGTAGCTTTATTAGAATTTCAGTCCCAAAGTGTGTCAATTCTTTATATGGATGAAACCAATTTTAATCTCCATATTTCAAAAAGAGAAGGTCGCTCTTATAAAGACATAGTCGCGGCCTGATCCAGGGGAAATAACATCCATGTTATTGGATGTATTAGTAATAATGGATTAATTCATCATAAAATTAAGAGGTTCTTTCAAAAAAGAGGATGCGAAAGAATGGACCAGGGAGTGCGTTAGAAAGCAAAATGAAATTTATGAAAGGGGAGCTGTCTTAGTTATTGATAACGCTCCTTGCCATACTTCAATTGAAGAAGTTGTGGAGGAGGATGAATTTAGGCAACACCAAATTTTCAGACTTTCCCCCTATAGTCCGATGTTAAATCCCATTGAAAAGGTTTGGTCAGACATTAAAGCTGACATAAAAAGAAATATGGCAGACTCAATTGTTGGGATTTTAAGAGGTGATGGTCAGGGATCTTTAACTACTAAAGAATTCCGCCTCAGCAAGTTAGAAGCGATGATCTCCGAGGCAAATTAATAATATTTCCCCTGAGACTTGCACTAACTTCGTATCTGGAATACAGAGATTACTTCTCTTTTGTAATTAACTTAGATGATGTAATCTTTTAAATAAATTTCTTAGGAACGTTTATATTTTTTATATCCCTTTTAAGTAAAAATAAAAGAATAAATATTAAATTTATTAGTACTATATTAATTCTCAATTTGAAGTTGATTATTTCTCATTTTGAAGTTGTTTTCCAATTTGAAGTTGATTAATCCATTTTGAAGTTGATTAATCCATTTTGAAGTTGATTAATTTTTTTTTACCTGAAAATAAGTCCATTTTGAAGTTGATTATTATCATTTTGAAGTTGAAAAGGTATAGATCTGCTGCTAGGAAAGTTAGTTCACTGTGTCGTGTTAGACAATTTTTTCTCTCCAGAATTTTATTTATAAGTCTATCATTTGTCCATTATTTCTACCACATATGGTCTGGCTTCCCTGCTATATATTTAGAGATTCTTGATAAAATTCAAAGGAGAATCCGCCATGTTGCTGGCCCTGACCTAGCATCCTGGCTTCAGTCACTTTCTCACCGCCGTAATGTAGCTTCCTTTTGTCTTTAATATAAATACTTTCATGGAAATTGTTCTGATGTATTCTGCTGTATGGTACATAGATTTTATGAATGTAAGCGCAGTACTAGATTGGCGGCTAGGTCTCATCATTTTCCAGTTGAAAAGGATGGATTTAACCGTAAGTTCTATGCTTTCTTTCTCGCACCTCTTGCTTATGGAATCCTCTTCTGGTTTCTTGCTTCCTATTTTAAATGCAATGTTAATTGTCGTCTTGATTCCTCTTCTTTTATTGTTCTCGCTCATAAATAAAGTTTTCTTTTGCTTATTCTTGCACACTCAGCAACACCTTGTGCCTTAGTGGCTTTATTGCCTAGCTTCCATATGCCGTTTTTATAAATACTTTCATGGTAACTGTTCTGATGAACTTTACTCTATGGTACCTAGATGTTATGAATTTAAGCGCTGTACTAGATTAGCAACATGCGTTTTTATGTACAAAATGGCCCACTGGAAATATCAGGAACTCTGTAAAGAATTGATTCTAGCGTCAAAGTTCGATGTAATCGAAGCAATAATATAAAAGCTATAGTAACAGATTGAGAGGATCCGCTGGAGAATTTTACTGATACAATTCCAATTTTGGAATCTATTCAGTATCAAATTGCGTTTCTCAACTATTTCTCTTAACTTAATCTCTTAACGAAAGTAACTCATATTTGATACAATAGTTGTCAGTGAACATGAATACCCTACTACCCCTTGTCAAAATGATGGAATTTTCCTGTATCTTTAGAAACAAATATTATGAAAGTATGTGCTCATAAAACATTGTAAATTTCAAAATAAGTTATTCCAAAATTCGCTTGAAAATGTAACAGTACTGGGGATTTTAATTTAATTCTATAGCTGAATTTGAAGTATTTAGTTTCTGTTTGGAAACATGGTAATTCCTGTGTAGCTATGGAAACATATTTTTAAATTAGGAAATTTGTAATATTTATGCTCTGTAGGTTTGCATTGAGCACTGTTTTATGAAATAAAAATAATTAATAAGAACACTGGATTATATACAGGGGTTGAACAAAATAATTGGAACACTTGTTAAATTCAAAGAAAATTTATTTAATATGGAGTTGGTCCTCTGTTAGCCTCACAAACAGCTTTAATACGTCTAGGAATGGAATCATACAGCTTCCTGACTTCATCCAGAGGAATTTTCAGTCATTCTTCCATTAAAACCTTCTCCAGCTCTTTACGACGCAACGGTGGAGGATAGCGGCTCCTAAATTGTTGTTCCAAAATACACCACAAATGTTCAATAATATTGATATCTGGAGATTGGGGAGGTTCACTTTCATGCTCTTCATACCAATTCTTAACCACTCGAGCGGTATGTATTGGAGCAGTCACCATCAGGGAATAAAGTCTTGGCCATTGGATGAACATGATCTCCCAAAATGTTCAGGTAATCTTTGCTGTTGATTCTACCATGCAGGGCAACTATTGGACTGAGACATTTCCATGATATGGCAGCCCAAACTATCACTGATCCACCTCCACGCTTCATTGTTGGAAGAAGGCAGTCATGGTTTTGAGCTTCTTTGGGCTACCT